AAATTAAGTTACGGAAACAAAATCTGAAACAGCAAAAAATTAAAGCCGGCGGATGAGAATACCTGAAGCATATGAAGAAGAGAAAACACTTCAAGTTGTTGTCTTTAAAGGCGATAAGCTTTCTGAAACACAGAGAGGTGACGTGAGACAGTGAAGTTGGGGAGTATGAACTATGAAGACGACGGATCGGAGAAAATGGGTTCAGTTTTGGTATTCCAAGAGATTGCGGGGATCTTAGAATTAATGTTGCTATTTCCAAAGGGACCAAATGAGAATATACTTGTAGGAAAAATGATATAATTAATAATTAACGCGTTAATTAGCATACATTTTAGGAGTCAATTCCCTAAATGGTCACCCAAGTTGAGGGAATTGTCTTGAAACATCATTTATGTTTCATTTAGGACCAAAATATCACTCAACTATCACTATTTTCCTTCAAATATACTTGACACTTCAAAAGCCTCACTCTCTCCTAATTGGCATGACATGTCATTAAGATTTTTTTTAAAATAATAGACTAATTTAATTCATCAAACTCATTTAACTAAAATAATGATCGTATTATTTTTTTTAAAAGAATATTAGTTTATTAAGAATAATTTTCATACATAAGAATCTTTTATCATAATTAAACTTTTTATTTTTATGTTATGAAGAATAGGTTTTTACAACGTACTATAATATCATCAATTTTTAATATTTATAAACACGTACATTCAAAAAAAATATTGATATATAAATCACTCATGAATGCTAACTTACATCAATTAATCATAAATTGTATAATGAATCAATAATATTAAAGGTCAATTAACTGTTACAATAATATTAATCGAGTACTTTGAAATTCATGCGTACCATTTTATTTTATTTTTTGAAAAACTAGAAAGTGAATAATATCATATTTTTTATCCAAAAACAAATACTAAATGCCTCAAAAGTCTTCTTCTATTCTAGTTGATATTTCATGTCATTAAATCATCATTTAAAAAAATAATAGACCTATTTAATTCATCAAACTTATGTCTCTACAAAACAAATTTATAAATTACATGAGAATTTATGAAGATTATTTTTTTTTAAAATCTAATTCCTTTATATATTTTTGCCAAACAAAATTCAATGAAAAAACTTCTTTGTGTAATTATTACCTGGTAATTTTTAAAATTCCTAAGTAAATTATTCAAAAAATTTAAGCAATTTTTTTCATAAAAATATTCAAATAAATTTGTAAGGTTGACAAAAAAAGTTGGTAAGAAAGAGAAAAATATTATTTAACTTTTTTTTAATTTAATTTTTTTATTATTGTTTTATTCTATATTATATTATATTATATTTTAACTTCTCATACAATTAAACACCAATATATATTCTTATATCATCCCAAATTCATGAAATACAAGTAATAATTAATTGAATTGCCTATTTTAATTCAATAATATACATATTATATGAGATTAATATGTTGATAAATAAAGATTAAAAATTTATTTTCTAATATAAATATTATTCACTTTCTATTTTCTTTTCAAAGAAAGATATTGTAAGTATATATGGATTTCAAAGCACCCAATTAATTATTTTTTAATAGTTAATAGACCTTCAATATTATTGATCCATTATATAATATATGATTCATTGATGTAAGTTGACATTCATAAGTGATTTATATATCAATATTTTTTGAATATATTTTCTCATAATTATTCAAAATTGATGACATTATGGTAAGTTTTAAAAAACTATTCTTCACAGCATAAAAAAATAAAAAAATAAATTATGATAAAAGATTATTAAGTATGAAAATTTCTTCTTAATAAATATATATATATATATATTTTAGAAAATAATAAGATCATTATTTTAGTTAAATGAGTTTGATAAATTATTAAGCCTATTATTAAAAAAATGACTTTAATGACATGTCATGCCAATGGGAGAGAGTGAGGCTTTTGAAGTGTCAAGTATATTTGGAGAAAAATAGTGATAGTTGAGTGATATTTTGGTCATAAATGAAACATAAATGATATTTCAAGGCAATTCCCTAAACTTGGGTGACCATTTAGGGAATTGACTCTACATTTTAGGAATGAACACACTTAAATACTTCCTCGGTCACTTTTTATTTATCAAATTTTGACATAATGATTGGTACAAGGAGTCTATCATTTTATTTATCAAATTGTGACATAATGATTGGTATAATTAAAAGGGTAAAAATGTTTAAAAGTCTATGATATTCTTTTTATTTTAAAATAAACTGATTTTTTTAAAAATTAAAAGGTATTAAAGTTAAAAGGATAAAAATGTTTAAAAAGGTAAAATAACGTAGTGTGAAATATGTTATTTTATCATTCTGGCTAAAAGGATTTTTCCTCATCTTTTTTATTGACAGAGTTCCAAATATATTTAGTCACTACTTTTTTTAAAGACATTTAGTCAATTTTAATAAACTGAAGATGTAATAGAAAAAATAATTGTTCTTTTTGATTTGTCAAAAATAACAAATAAAAAGAAAAATTAAACTAAAAAATATTTGACTAGTAAATATGAATGGATATAATTCAAATGGTAGTTTTTATGTTGATTCATGCGTTAGAAACCATAAATAGTTTAATGTTTTGATTTCTAGAGTCAATTAAATTGATTTTGTTTCTGTCTCTTATTCATATAGTATGATTCTGTCTGTTTGGCATTACGGTAAAAAAAAATTATTTCTAGAAGTGTTTTTTTAAAATAGCTTTTCTAAAAAGTGCTTTTCAAAAAAAAAATTGAGTTTGACAAATTCATTTGAAAAAATGCTTTTGATAAGCAATTTGTGTTTGACTATCTTTTTAAAAAAAGTATTTTTGAGAGTCAAATTACGAAAAAATCAAGTATCAATGTGCTTTTAAGATTATTTTGTAGAGAGAAACTATTTTAAATATCTAATACATAACTTTACTTAAATTTTTATTTTAATTAAATTAAAATGTACATATTCAAATTATTAATCAATATTATATATAGATAAATAAATAAAATAAAATATTAATATAATGTTAACATGATGAGTTAAATATAATTAAAAATATCAAGAAAAATAAATTTAAAAACTATTCCACAACTAAGAAAATAAATTTTTTATTTGTTACTTTTTTGGGAGGGCTTAAATCTTTAATTGTTACTTTTTTCTCTTTTTTAATCCTACAAAATATTATATTACCTATTTCTAATAATACATAAAATAATATATATAATATAAATAATAATATATAAACATAAATAAAATAAAAAGTTTATCATACAAAAATAAAAAATAAAATTCTTGAATAAAACTTAACAAAACCTATGAAATATGTTAATTAATTACTAAGAGATATATTGGTAAATATATAAATATGTAAGGGATATTTTAGTCTTCAAAAAAATAATTTTCTGCTTCTACTTCTACTATTTTTAAGAAGCAGAAATTTTTAACTTCTTCCAACAACAGAAAAACTGATTTTGCTTCTATTTAAAAGCACGAGGGTTTGCCAAACACTTGGTTTTGCAAAAAAAATGTAAAAAAACACTTTTGGCCTCCTAACAGCAATGCCAAACAGGCTCTTAATTTTTTTAAAAATATTTGATTAATATAAACAAGATAAATTTATGTTATTATATATGATTGTAATGACTTTTATTTACCTTCAGTTTCTCTTATTCACCCGTAATTGTAACCTCAGAATATTCCAAATATGCTAAAAAAAATTAACACGATAGGCACAACCAACAAAAGGTGTTTGAGACTCCATTGACTTCTTGACATGTGGATAAGTGGGTCATTTATCTACTTTAAAGTTAGAATGCTACCACTAACAAGAGATAGAAAGTATATTTACACAATAAATTGAGTTGAACATATATAAAAAATGCATGAGAATTTAAAACGTTAGTTTACTTCTTCTTTATTTTAATATTTTGAGATTATATTGAATATGTTACGTAGTTATATGTTGATTTTGACAAATTTATTTTGATATGGTATCTTTTCTATGTAATATAATTTGTATTTTTGTTTTCATCACTGTTACTTTTCTACTTTTAGTTTTTTTTTTTAAATAGTGCTTAAATTTTTTTGGAATACGTTTAATTTTATTTATTTTTTTAAAAATATTGTATTTTTTTAAATAATGATTTATTTAAGTTAAAGATTGCTAGAGGTAGAGAGAAAATAAAGATTAAAAAATATTGATGTAACTTTTTTTCTAACATCAGCAAAAATGTTTTAAAAAAAATTAAAAATTACAGATTCAGTTTGAACATCAAAATATGTAGTTTTGATTTCCCATCCTTTGATTTTATAAAAATATTAGGAAGAAAATTCAAAATTTATTTTTTCAACAAGTATAAAATGTGGATCCACAATCATTTTTATTTTATTATTATATATTTAGTGAAATGTATTATTTTTTATGGGATTGATATTAATTATAAAATTTGTTTTACTTTTTGTTATTTTTGTTCTAGGTTTATAAAAATTCTTCAAACTAACATACAACTATAACAATAATAACATATCCAATGTAATCTCAAAATTAATATAATATTAACAATTAAAAAAGAAAAGCAACAAATGCACGTATAATTTCTCTTGCATTTTTTAATATTTATTCAATTCAATTTATTGTGTAAATATATTCTCTCTCTTGTTAGTGATAGCATTCTTGCTTTAAAGTAAATAGATACACACTTTTTTTGATTGTGCCTCTATGGTGATAAAATTTTTCAAATATGCATACGTATAAAGATCAAAGACATTGGTACTCTTATAAAAAAGTTCTTTTTATCATCAAAGAGATGGATTTATAGAACTTTTTACGACTAATCTTAATCTGGAAAGAGTAATAAAGTGAAGTAGATAAAGCTGAAAAGACAGGGGTCAAAAAGAAAACTTAAAAATTTTAAAAAATTACGAAACCGACCTCCTACTATCCCATTATTATTTGCACAACAGTCCACTAGTCCAGCCATGCAAGCAGGCACCCACTATACAGAATAGTGTTTCAGATATTTTCATATCCCTTCCATTGCTGCGCGTGCCGTTAGTTGTACCTATAAAGCCCTACTGCTCTTCAATCAATTTCTCTCCACAGATCTGATCCGAACTACTCAGGTACATGCTGCTGCTCTCTCATTTTGCTCTTACTCCGTCTGAATCTCATTTTTTATTATTTGAAAGTCGAATCTCATTGTTGTTGTAGTTCGTCTTCTCTGGATCGGCGTTTTGGTTTAGAATTTATGCATCATTTTGTTTTTTTCTTCATAATCATCGTGGTTTCGGATCTGTGTTTATAGAATGCTGCTGATATATATGACGAGGTTGAGGTTTTAGCGGTTTTGGTTGCTTTTCGGTTGATTTGCATCCACGGTGCTCATAATTATCTGTTTTATGTGTTGTTGATTATCATGCATCGATATATGTGGGTGCAGTGTATATCGCTGATTCGTTGGCTTTCCGTGTTACTGTTGGTGTTTCGATTTGATGAAATTCCAAGTGTTATATGAAGGAATTAGAAGAAAATGATAAGTTTGATAGAACTAATCAAATATTTGATCCGACAGTTGTTGCTAGAGTAGCTTTAGTTTGTGATGTTTCTGTTCTGGATGATTTAACAATTACTGCACATGTATATCCAGTAATCTGATGTTGCTTTTGCAATTGATATGCTGTATTGGGCTGGAGATTGTGTTTTGTCTAAATTTTGAGTGTATTACTCTATTTCCTTGGTTGCAAGGTTTGCTTGCTAATTGAGGTATGTTGTCTGGTTTCGGTAGATAGACAAGTCAATAATAGTAATATTAAATCTGGCTCAAAGAAAGAAATGATAATTGTGTAACAGGCGTGTAATTGGTCTAAATGGATACAGAGCTATGACTTCTAATATCATAGATCCATATAGATATGAAATCTACATTTGCAGCTATTTCATTGTTATGTATCTATGTTGATCTGAATGGGACAAACTTATATGTATGTGTGTCTATTCACAAAATTTGTATGCCACTCTAAATTTTATCCTACATTGTAGTCATATATTACCAAGTTCTGAAAGGTCTTTGTACTAATAAAAGAGAAGTTCTGAATTACCTTTGTGATTTCTCAATAAGATATGGTTAGTTTCTTATAGGGTGGTTCATGGAAAGGCAAGTTATATACTGAAGTGGGAAGAAGAATTATATAGACTGGAGTTTTGGAATTTGAAATGTATAATGTTCTTGTAATCTCTATATAGGTTTCTCTCAACTTTCACCTGGAGGAATCCATTTAAACTATAAGGGGCTATATGTGATACTGTTAATTAGTTCATTTCTCACACGCATATTATAGTTCATCTTTATGAGGTACACTGCAGTGGGTCATTGAGCTTATTTGTACTTCATACTCTTTGTTTACAATGCCATGTAATCTTTTCTGAGATTGTGTACTGCTGCTTTGAGCAGAATCAATCATTTAAAAGTTGAGAGATCATGGGGCGTGGAGTCAGCAGTGGTGGAGGACAGAGTTCCCTAGGTTACCTCTTTGGAGATGGTGAGCCTCCAAAGCCTACTACCAACAAGGTAGAAGCTCCACAGAATCAGGGACCTATTACAAGCGATCCGCAGAAGCCTACTGCAACTGCACCAGCTCCAACTGTTAATAAGCAGATTCCAGCTGGCATCCAGGGGCGCAATTCCAATAACTATTTCCGTGCAGATGGACAAAACACTGGGAATTTCCTCACGGTAAGATGCAGATCATCTTTCTTTCAAAGTCGATTTTACAATGTCCCTGCAGATTACTTATCCCCTCCTACTCATTGGTTCTTTCTTTATGATTGTCATGGCTTGATCAAATGAATTAGTTTTTGAAATGACCGCTTTCAGAAGGGTGAACTTTACATGGAGGCAGATTCTTTAATGAAGAAATTTCTTTTCCATTCTCTATTTAGTTCAGTACTATATGCTTTTTGAATTATTGATTCTATCACCTCTTTCAGTTCTTGCTGCTCCAGGATATAATTGTGGATAAAAACATCTTTAAAAAATTCTGAAGGAAGTTCCTTTCCAAACGTTATTTAGTTCAGTACAACATGTTTCTTGATTCTGTCATATCACATTTCTGTTTGTAGCAACTTTTGTTTTCCAATCATCTGGGATTGTTGCCATCATAAACATTTTACCAACTTTTGAGAGGGGAATATGAGAACTGAACCATCCTGTTCTGGAGATGTTCTTTTCCATTCTTCTTCTAGCTCAGTAGCATATGCTTCTTCTGTTGCTAATTCCATCACATTTTATTTCCCTTCTTCTTGTCTTATTACACAGGGTGATATTGTCTTGTCAATTAAATGTTTGAATCTCGTTTCTTTTCAGGATCGCCCATCTACCAAAGTGCATGCAGCACCAGGTGGTGGATCTTCCCTGGGTTACCTGTTTGGCGATGGCAAGAACTAGTTCCTTCTGTCCAAAGATGAAACTGTGTGTGTAGTCATGAAAAAACGATGAGACTGCTGTTACTGTATGTTGGTTTATTTTGTGTCTGGGGAAACAGTGTCGGCATTCAGAAGATCCAATTGTAATATGATAATCCTTTCCTATTCACTGTTGGGATATATACCCAAAGCTTCAACTGTGAACAATCCTCAATGCCTGTTTAAGAAAATCAAGTTTTAGTTCGTGCTACTGTTGTTTTAGCATGCAATGATTCTAAAAACATGAACATGATCTCCCAAAGTGTTTATGAACATGCATTATACTTGACAATTTGCTCTTTTCATTTTATTATTACGAGTGAAAGCATTTTAAGTTGATACCTATTTCTCAGTCCAAAATTCTGTCCACTTGCCGCAGCCAGCCTTGGAACTTGGGTATTCATGGTTTTATTCAGGTTGGTTTTCAAATCAATTTAGTATGTTTTTCAAATATTAGAATTGACTCTAATCAATTAAATTGGGTTTTAGTGCTTTCGTTTTAGTGGTTTTCTTTTAGTTTTTGTCGACTTATATTTAAATATCTAACAATATACACCCAACCACATATTAGATCGACTATAGTCTAGCATAACATCATCGAATCAATTACTACTATTATTACTGTTTGAGTTTTTTTTTAAAAATATTTACATAATTAAGTTATATAAAGCTTCTACCGAAAAAAAACCCGTATGAAAGTGTTTGAAATTTAGCCATTTCAAGGAACTAGATTCACCACATGTGTGTTGCACGTGATTGCCTAGTCTCGCGATGCGTTCAATTGTGAAGCAGTAAAGCATGAATACTTGCTTTGTTCAATATATGGAATATGTCTTTAAGAAATCTGTCGGTATGAATGTTTCTTAGTTACTAAATATTAGTTCATGCCTACAATTGTGAAGCAGTAAAGCATGCACACTCTCTTTGTTCAATATATGGCATATGTCTTAATGGATTTGTTTGTATGGATATTTCTTAGTTATTAAATATTTGTTTATAAATAATACTCCATTTAGTCCGATAAATTATCTTGAATTAGATGCATTTAATGGTGCGAAAGCTCAAAATAATAAGCGGATATGTAATATTCTCGAAGCTACATTTGGTTATGTTTATGACATTGTTCCAAAATAGCGGATACCTTCCAGGAGTTTGAAGTCAATTGTATCCTAATTATCAATATCAAAGTTTTCACAATAGTTGTATTCCTTCAGAAGTTGCATTCTGATGGTTAGCTCGTCTCCTTTTCAACCGGACCTATAAATATGACCAAAGACATTTTGATTAGCTTCATGTAATATGTTAGTTTTGTTCCAACTTGATGACGCTAATGAAGATTGAAAGCGTCGCTAACCTAATACTTCCTTGCATTACATGTGATTACCAATTTCAAAAATATACGTTATGGTAAATAGAATTGCTTATTTAAGCAAAGATTTGAATAATAAGCTTAGCAAAAAATAATATTGCAGATTCTTTTGTGAATGTTCAATGTGGATCGTCATATATTTCTCTTATTCACGCAAACCTATGAAGATGGTCAATAAAAAAAAATTATTAGTTAGATGCAATTATAGTATATATTTATTTCAATTTGATTAGGTTCAATCATGTAATTAGTCTTATCTCACTAATATTACCTTATAGACAATATTAATTTTGTATTTTTCTTGTCATCTAACCAGATGTGCTTTGTATGTGTATTCTACGTTAAATTGTTTAGATGTCATATGAACATGTGAAGAGAACAACTACATTTTATATGTTCACATATTTTCACATTTGTTGTGAGTTTTTCTTTTTTTTAAAAAAAGAACTCGGAATATTTTAAAATAATATATTTTCAAGTTAGAAGATCTCGTTAACTTGATAATACATTTGTGACATTTATAATACTTTAATTTAAATACAAATACCTATCCAAATATAAATATATATTTGCATTAATGAAAATATTTATCTCATAAAATTAACTATTTAATAAATAATAAAAATTAAACTAATACAACTTCAATTGGCGTTATTACAAGTCATATGAACTTTTCTTTGTCTAAAATATTGAAACATTGAGAAATAGTAAATAAGTAAAACAAAAGGGCAATGTTTATATAGTAATAACTATTTTGAAGAAAATTTCCTGAGAGTGTAAATCACATAGGTAACATTGATAAATAAAGTCATTCTTTTGTCTTGAGCATCAAAAACAAATCGTGACAATTCTCTAAATTTTGGAAAAAAATATTCAGAAGCATATATCTACATCACAAAAGAAATTATTAACAAAACAAATGACTTTAGACTACATCATGTTAACTTCATATATTGGAAAATTACATACTAATGTGT